CTATTACTACTGGAAATGCTAACGGAGCTAATGCTGCTGGAAATGCTAACGGAGCTATTACTACTGGAAATGCTAACGGAGCTATTGCTGCTGGAAATGCTAACGGAGCTATTACTACTGGAAATGCTAACGGAGCTATTGCTACTGGAAATGCTAACGGAGCTAATGCTGCTGGAAATGCTAACGGAGCTATTACTACTGGAAATGCTAACGGAGCTATTGCTGCTGGAAATGCTAACGGAGCTATTGCTGCTGGAAATGCTAACGGAGCTAATGCTGCTGGAAATGCTAACGGAGCTATTACTGCTGGAAATGCTAACGGATCTGGATCACCGGTACTGAATGTGAAACCACCACCAGTAACAGCTGTTGCCTAACTGGGCTCAGAGCTACAGAACCGAACCGGATCGCACAGTGACCAGAGGTGAGTCTCATTCATTATTTCATTATGAACCTGAAGGCGGCAGCAGCTCCTACTGCCAACTCTTCCTCTTTTTGCTCCTCCTCTTCGTCGCCTCTTGTTATTTCCACGTTCTGATCGGTTTCAATGCGCTCCGCTTCAAATCAAAAAGGCTCTAATAACGTTACTCATCACTGTTGGCTGGAGGAGCCAGGCAGTTGGACCGCTATATGTCATTTACCCAGAATGCATTGCAGCGTGAACAACATGGCGACATTCCTGTGAAAATATTTTATTAAAATTTATCAAAACTAAATAACCTTCTGTATTATTACTGTATTGTTTTTACATCTAAGATGAATATTTCCCAAATAAGGTCTATTTTTATAACTAATCGAGGATCCCTTTAAAGTTTGACTGTAAATTTACAAATGACGACCCCCATTGTTTTCACCTCTTAAATGTCAGTTTTAGTGACATTCAATCAAAGTCTCTTATCTTAAAAACAAATTACTTGTTTGTTTTAATATTTAGGGACTTGGCAGTAATATTTATTATTTGTGTAGACTCAATAGAAACATCGCCACCTAGTGGCAAAGATCCAACTCTTTGTTACCTCCATTTTGTCCGGTTCCAGAACCATTTCCTGTCCCCGCTCCATTGGACGAGTGACTTCCTGCTCCGCCAGCCGGACCGACGCTGCAGTCCTCTCCGCTGTAACCATAGCAACACTTCCACTCCATCTCTGTCACGGTTTTGTAGGCCACTTTGTAACGGGGCCTCATGTAGGTCCGGTAGCTGCGGAGACACCAAACATGGAGGCTCAATGCATCGGTTCCGAGAGGGCCGGGTCAGAAATTGGTCAGAGGTCACTCACACCACGACCCGGCTGCACTGGGTGCTGCCCCAGCTGCATGGGTGATAGTCGGGCTTCACATAGGTCTCCACGCCGTCCTCCACCACGCAGCTCACCGTCTTCGTGAGGACGAACGCGCACCAGTTCCTTCAAATCAGACACATAGTTAAAGAGCGGGATCTAGTTCTGATCCAGTTCTGGGACGCACAGTGAAGGGTTCTGGTTCTGGAACGTCACAGTTTATGGTTCAGTTTTAGCTCTGTCAGTACAACAGGAGAAACAAAACATCCAGGAAAGAAGAAAAAATCCTTCAGGTCCAAATCCAGCCGCCAGCAGCATCCAACCAATCCAAAACATCAAACTGGTTCCTGACTGGTTTCTGACTGGTTTCTGACTGGTTTCTGACTGGTTTCTGACTGGTGAGGCTCTCTAAGGTCTGGAGAAGAAGACTTGTTGTTCCTGAGAGAGCTTAATGTCACATGAAGCTCTGTGGTGAGGTCAGCAGGTCATGATGAATGTGTCTCTGTGTTGACATGTTTTGAGAAAGACACACGTGTCAACAGCATTTGTTTCCATAGAGACCAGGAGGCTGGAGGACGGTGGTGGAGATGTTCAGTTCTCCATTCTGAACCAGTTTTCTGAAACTACAGCACAGCCTGGGACCAAATGAACAGAAGCTCAGAATAAAACAACTGAACATAAAAGGTCCCACTACCACACCGACCCACTAACGTACCGTCAAACTAATGCCCAGACCCACTAAACCACTGTCTGCCTAATACATCGTGCCACTACCACACCGACTCATTGACACACCGTTCCACCCAACACATCGTCCCTCTAACACGCCGACCCACTAAAGCAGCATTCCCCTATCGTACCGTCCCATTAATTCACCATCCTACTAACACCGGCTCAGACTAATCGGGTCTCAGGTCTGCAGACTGTTCTGCCTGTTGATGGTTTCTCTGGATGTCCCAGACTAAAGGCTCATTTCACCATTTCACTGATTTATTTCTCCTGAGTTTGAAACCGTTTGATCCGGCTGGAGCAGATACGGATTCATGAGTTGCTCACACTGACAACATGGGGACTATTTGTCCCTGGGTTGATAAATTCCTGACATATCTGAGCAGCTGCTCGTCTTCATCAGCTTCACCAGCGCTGTCTGGGCTGGCGATTCGGTTCAGGTGGAGGTACCAGCATATCGGGTCAGACTAAAATCTCTCAACAGAATCAGGTTAGTTTCAGTCAGTTTAACTTCAGTTCACATTTGGTTCAGTTCAGTTTCAGTTCACTTCAGTGTCTGGTTGAACTGAATGGAATCATTTTTTTTGTATTTTACAAACTAAATATCCAATTTGGCTCCAGAGGAATGACTGATCCGACCCGACCCAATTTTACCAGAACCTGAAGCAGGAAAAGTAAACTCTGCCATCCAGAGGAAATTCTGGACTTGATTTGCATTCAGAATCAGCGGCCCAGTTCGGCTCTCTGTCCACCAGAGCCATGTTGGTCCAGCAGGACCTTTTGGTTCTGCATGGGTTCTGAGATCTGGATCCAACGTCTCCATGTTTGCTTTCCGTGTTTATGTAGAGAAAGCAGTGGAAGCGGTTCCGACCCAGTCCCAGAAGAACCATGGGATAATGTTTCAGGAATGAGTGACATCAGAACCTGAACCCAACCCAAACGACATCATTGCTCCGGATCAGAACCGCCACACGGAGGGAAGAACCTCCTGGTTCTCTGACCCCGCAGAAGGTCTGACTCTCAGCCAGAACTCGGACCTGCAGCCCGTCTGTCAGAACCGCTTCAGCAGACGGAACCAGAACCAGATTCCAAGCAGAACCCCCCCTCAGTTTCACCCACCATCAGAAAGGTTCTAATTTTGGTTCTGGTGGGTTTAAAACTCAAATCATCACATTTCAACACACACGCGCACAGTGACGTCATCACCCCTGCTTCACCTCATCTTCATCATCATCACCGTTTCCGTGCACGTGTCATCTTACCTGTGTCTGCTGGCCGCGCGGGTTCCGTGCGCGTGCGCGTGCCCGCCGGAGTACAGGCTGTAGGAGGCGCGCATCGGGAACGTGCTCCTGGCGTGCTCGCAAATCCAGAGCACGAGCAAAAGCAACGGGAGCGCGCCCATCCCGATCAATACGATCAATGAGGCTATCGATCCCTGATCAGCACGTGATCAACTGCTTAGATGGCGGGAAAATCTCTCATCTCCATGGAGACGGCAGATAAAGTTCCGAGAAGTCAGTTCTAACGATTCATGATCCGGTTCTGATCCAAACAGAGTCCAGATCCACAGCGGAGAACCGCTCCCTGTCCGACCCACTCCTATCCCGCCTTCGACCCGCTTTGGCCCGGTTCGGTGAGCTGCCGAAGGTACATCAGAATCTGAGAAACAAAAGAGAGGAAAAAGTTGCGACAGACTGAACCGAGACCAGCTGCTCCTCCTCTTCATCACTGACCCCGCCCACGCCGGAGGAGAAACCGGAGCCGGGCGGCTGCAGCCACACCTGGACCGGGCCGAGTCCGAGGAGGTTCGGCTCGGTTCGGGTCATGCATCCGGCTGCTTCCTGTTTTCGGTGTTATTGTTAATTTATTAATTAACACACAAAATAAAAACAACAAAGTTTCCTCAGGATGACATTGAACCCCCACCCTGGTTCTGACCCAGCCAGGTTCTGACCCGAGCCGGTTCTGACCCGAGCCCAGGTAGCCAGGTTTAATTCAAATTCAAAATAATGTATTAATCTCAAAGTGAAATTAAATGTTTTGGCTCAAACATTTATTGCAGATGCTGAAGGCAGGAAAGCTCTCCTGTAGCAGTCTGTGCTGCAGTGAATCTGAAGAAACCTCTGACTTTCCAAGAGTTGGCCGTAGCTTTCTTGATTCTATGAAGAATCCTTCTTTGCATCATCATCTCCAGAGGCTCCACAGTCTGAACCAGAACCAGAATAGAACCAGAACCAGTGGGGCAAAAAGTGGGCATGCAGCATAGGGGCGCTGCACCGGAGGGGGCGGCGCACCGATGATGTGTTCGGTCCACTTGGGCGCCTTACGCGGCCATAACAGGGTAAATGTAGCGAGTTTTACCTCCACGTACCTTCCTGTCAGGGGGGCATCTATGTGTCCGCATCCACCTGAACAATATGTAGTTGGGCCCCTGACCAGAACCAGCCTTTTTAGGTCCCTGGTTCTGATGAGATCACGTCCACTGCCAGAACAGTTCGGTTCTGACTGGAATTTTCTCTATCAAACAGCAGAACCAGGTCCAGAACCAGAAAATGGGGGCTGTTCTTCAGTAAGATGGAGCTCAGATCAGGTTCTGTTACAGGTCCAATTGGGTCCAGCATGATCCACCAGCATCTGACTGGACCAGAACCCTGAATGGCTGAAGTTACCCAGAATGCATCTGTTCCACCTGTAGGATCAGAACTGAGAGTCAGCGGGTCTGAACCAGAACCTGAAGGTTCTGTCTGCTGATCTAACATCAGAACCCAGCAGCACGGGTTCAGAACCAGAGAGGAGATCTGCAGAACCATCACTAATCAGAACCAACCTGGTTCTGCTTCAGGCCATCTGACCTCCTGATCCCTTAGGCTCCGCCCCCTCACCTGGAGGGCTGCAGGCAAACCGGACCTGGTTCTGCTACAGCCAGGAGGTTCTCTGGTTTCCAGGTCAAAGGTTGCAGCAGAGGCCAGAATGCTGTGAATGATGCCTCAGCAGAAACTACAGAAGAAGAAACATCAAAGTTCTGGGCCCGACCAGAACCAGAAACCCAGAACCTGACTTCCTTCCTCAGAGGAAGAGGAAGTGGGTCTGCAGCTGGGTTCTGAACATCAGCTTCACCCGGCGTGGCGCTCATCCATCATGGCCACCAGGAATGCTGGGGAATGTTTGGGATGTTTGGGAATGTGTGGCGGCCGAAAGCGGGTCAGGAATCTGAGGCTCCACGAAACAGTCGCCACAAATTCAGCCGACTTCAGCTGAGGAGGAAACATCTGAGAAAGGGGAGGAGCTACGGCTGAGGAAGAGGAGCAGAGGAGGAAGATGAGACTGACAAACCTCAAGAGGGATCAAAGTTCACACATTTACCAACAAATCACAAACTACGTTTCTGGTGTCAGGTGACGTTCAGGTGTTCATAAAGCTTTCCAGGTGTTCTAAACTTCTCCAAACATTAGTTTTTATTTCTTTTCTCCTCAGTTTGTTTCGGGGCGTCATGGTGGTTCCCAGTGTTCCCAGTTGCCCTGCATTGGTTCCAGGACGGCGGTCCAGTTCAGGTTACCTGTGTTTAAACAGAAATGGCTCCGTATTTATCCTGCGGCGATGTGGAGGAGGCTAATGTAAACCAGCTAGCAGAGGGAGCTGAGCGTACCTGGCCCGGCCGGCTGTTTCCACTCAGCTGCTGCCTGTTTATTTGGGTTCTCCTGCGCCGCCGCGGTGGAGGCGGAGCTTCAGGTGGAGAAACGTCCGAGCTGCAGAGGCGCTCTGAACGCAGCTGAGTTTCATCATCCTCAGGGTGAAACGGGTCGGGTCAGGAAAATGTTCTGGATGTTTCCTCCGGTCCAAACCTCAGCCCCGCCCTGAAAGCAAACAGCAGAAACCCAAAACCACCAAGACCAAATTAACACCACGACGACACCGAACCGGGCTCAGGACGTACAGAGTCAGAGCGCAGCCGGGCCGAGCAGAACCACAGACCGGGTCCAATAAATCACCAACAAATCCTGGAAGGAGGAAGAGCAACACAGAGGAAAACTGATGAAAACAAGCAGAACCAGAGAGACGAGAAGGAAAACAAACAGAAAACCCAAAATGATCTGCCCCCAATGGAACACAGAATCAACAGATCCAGATCGTTCAGAACCACAAGAAACCCAAACCACCGTGAAACCAAAGTGACCCAGTCTGTGTCAGTCCTCGGGTTCAGCGTGACAGATGATTCTCTTTGAGCAGAACCGGTCCAAACGGTCCGGCTGGAGCTGCTGCTGGTTCCTGCTTCCTGCTGCTCCGGACTCACAGAACCTCAGAACCGGGTCAGGAGATCTGACTGCAGCGTTCAGGTGGGGTCGTGCCTGTGCAGAAATCAAACGTCCCCCACTCGGCTCCAGGCAGCTGGAAGTCATTACCCCCCTCCATCAGCCAGCTGGTTCCTGCTGCATCAGATCTCTCTCTGCAGACCCGGACCGGACCGGAACACCGGAACACCAGCACCCTGGTCCGGAAAAACACAACAACCAGAGCAAGACTGAAGAAACAACCTGGAGGTGACCTCTGACCCAGACCTGCTGCTGGTTTCTTATATGAGCAACATGGCTCTCTGCCCAGGGCAGTATCCGACCAGGGGAGGAACCTTAGAAAATAAGGCTGTACGTCTCTATGACGCTGTTAGGATGCATCATTCCCACCAGACCAGTTCGGTCCGCTTCAGTCCGTTTGTTTAGAAAGTCCGGTCAAAGCCGTTAAAGCTTCAACATGGCGGTAAAAGTTGATCATTTGTAGTTCTGAATCTAACAGGATTTCCACTCGTTCTTTTGGAGGAAATTTGTCATCGGTTTTCAGAGTAAAACGTTTTATTCCAACAGCCATAAAAAGTAAAACCATAGAAACACTGTTTTGTTTCATTCCTGTTTTTCCAGAGGCTGGATGACATGAGCAGCCGTTCTTCCCTCTGTCCAGATAAATAAAACTAGTTTAAAACAATAATGTCACATGACCTTCTGAAAAAACACAGTGTTAATTTCTGATAAATAATATCTGCTTTAGGAAGTTTGTTGTCATTTTAAAAGTCCTAAAGTTTTATTTACTAACTCCTCTTAGCACAACTGGAACAGACGGACGGACGGACGAGGGAGTGCAGCAACATGCTGGAGGTTCTTCCTGGTTGGTTTTCTGGGTCTCAGCCAATCAGAATTCAGAATGAAACCCAGACTGGTTCTACTAGGCTGTGGCCGCAGTCCAGTAGAACCAGTCTGGGTTTCAACATTGTAATAATGTTGGATCAACATTATTAGCTCTTTCTTATTTTGTTCTTTTCTTTGGTTTGTTATTTTGTTTGAATTTCTTTTCAGTTCCTGTTGCTGAAAATGTGCTATATAAATAAAATTACCTTTACTGGGCCGCCTTCAGCTTCACAGTCCAGTAGAACCAAAACCGGGCCAGGAAACGGCTGCTGGTGACCAGCTGCTGAACCCGCTCCGACCCGTTCCAGGAATCAGAGTCCAGTTTAATCAGAACCAGGTTATTTCTGGACTTCTAATCATGGTTCTGTCCCTGACCAGGCTCCGGTTGGACCCGGAGGTTCTGGACCGGAACCGTTCGGAAAACAACAATGTTATCACATGAAAGATGGATCTCATGTTTGTGACTTAGGAAGTAGATGAGTTCTGGTTCTGACCCACTGTCCCTGAAGGAGCAGCTCTGAGCCACACCGCTGTCTGACCCGATCCGGCCAGAACCAAAGCAGAGCCTGACTCAGAACCTGCAGAGAGATGAAGAGTAAACAGGAAGCTCTTCATCATTGTTTGATTACTCTGAACGCCCCGCGCTCCGAGGAGGTCAGCGAACGCCTCACAGCAAACAACACTTCCTCTCAGTTTATGGTAAACTGTCTCCATGGAAACAGGCAGGACACAGCTGCTGCGTTCCAGGATCTGATTGGACCGAACCGGGTCAGCTGATTCTAACCTCTGAATAAAATCTAACGTTGATCAGAGACAATCGGGTCTGTAGTGATCGATCGATCGGGCCTGCAGTGGTCGATCGGGTCGGCAGTGGTCGATCGGGTCGGCAGTGGTCTGGCCGATTTGCAGTCAGACTCTCAGTCTGTGTGGAACATGTTTCCTGTGTGATGTGTTTTAGTGCTGATCAGGATTCCAGATGTTTCTGTCGTCTCTCAGGTTGAGACCAGGAACAGCTTCAGCCTGAACTTCTGTTAGTTCCTCTTCAGCTTCCTGCTTTATTTTCTCTTAGTTTGTTCTGCTGCTCTGTTATCGGCTCCGTGAGAAGAACGGCGAACTCTTCATGTTGGGAACAAAACAAGCCAATAAAAACAGCAGGGTCATCTCACCGCCACGACTTTTACATCCTGCTTCAGCAGGGCAGGAACTGAAAGTCATCAGTCTGTTGTCATGGGAACCAGGTATCAGCGAGCATTTCCGTGGAGAGCGGACAATTCGCAGATATCTGCTGGACTCACGTCAGTCCGTCGGGCCTCGTCCCATCCTGCTGATCCGATCCGCTGGACGGATGTTCTGAACGGCGACACCAAGTCCAACTGCAACAATTTACACATTAAATATTTCAAACCACAAACCAAAGGCTGGTGGGTTTCCGTTTGTTCCTCAGTTTTAAAGCTTTGACTTATAAAATAGAATAACATGAAATACTTCAACATTTCAAAAGTGAAACTCATTCTTTAGAACTATTATACAAAGAGAATTTTTTAAGCCTTTAAAAAGACCCAGAAGATCAGAAAATTACATAAGAGTAATAAAAATTATATTTTAAACAATTTTTGAATTTAATAATTGGACTGGGCTCTTTAGGAAATGCAGTGCGGCATGGCGCGATGCCATGCCGCACTGCAAGATGAAATATTTCTGATGAGCAGTTGAATCTTAACTGGCTGACAGGATAGTTTTTATTCTCATACTATTGTTTGACAGTCGGCTGCTATGGTAACCAGGTGAGGAATGCAGTGTTCATGGTCTTCACCTGGACCTTCACCAGGCTGATCAGCTTTAGATGTTTTTAAGAAAATTATCAACAAATATTAAACCGACGAAATACTCAAAGAAAAATGTACAAAATATTAAATATTAAAAACATTTTTATATCTATTTTTTATTTTAATGTCAAATAAACTCCGGACCTTTTTTTTTATTATTTTTTTTACATATATAGTTTTCTTGCCTCTTTGTTGATATGTTTAAATTTAAATGCTTTTTTATTTATTTTTTCTGGATATTTTTTTTCTGCACCTTTGCGCCCTCTGCTGGCCGAAGCGGCTCGTCGCGTCCTCTTTTACGGCACAGCCTGCCTGTTTACGGCCATCCACCAACATGGCGGCAGCGGCACCGGTGGATTCTCCGGAGAGCAGAGACAATTCGGCACCAGGAGCGGAGGGAGGTTCGAGTCCGGGTCCGGTTCCGGACTCCCCGGTGTGTCTCATCGTGCTGGGCATGGCGGGTTCCGGAAAGACCACCTTTGTCCAGGTGAGGCAGCGCGTGACAGCTCCGCATCCACGCGCGAACCCCTCAGCAGCAGCACAGGCCGGGCTTCATCTGGGCCGTGTTCTCGACCGGTTCCGCCTGGGAACAGGTCCAACAGGTTCGGGTTCTGCTCAGAGAGTCCCGTTGGACCCGGTGACGCTCTGCTTCTGGTATTCAGGTTCGGTTCGGTTCTGATGTTTCCGCCCTCAGTGGACTCATAGAAGAGCTGCACTGAGTTCTGTAGAACCACCAGAACTTCAGCAGCTCCTCATTCTACTCGTTTTCAGAACAGGTTCTGATCCAAACCAGCTGCTGATCAGCGCATTGGTTACCGGGTTGCCTGGTTACCAGGTTGCCTAGTTACCAGGTTGCCTGGTTACCAGCCTGTGTTTGTCCCCGCAGAGACTGACGGCTCACCTCCACGCCCAGAACTCGCCTCCTTACGTCATCAACCTGGACCCGGCCGTACATGAGGTTCCGTTTCCGGCCAACATCGGTGAGCTCTGGCTTCCGGTTCTGCCTTGTTCCGGTTCTGGACGGTGTCCCCTGTCCTCAGCCTGTCCTCTGTCTCTCAGACATCCGGGACACGGTGAACTACAAGGAGGTGATGAAGCAGTACGGACTGGGCCCGAACGGCGGCATCGTCACTGCGCTAAACCTGTTTGCCACGCGATTCGACCAGGTGACCCGACCCGGTCCAGAGTACCCGGTTCTGCTATCACCTCTGATCAGACCCGGTTCGGTACAAGAACCTCTGATTGGATCTGGATCTGCTCCTGAAAGGGTTTCTGTGTTCTGGTGTCTTTCAGGTGATGCAGTTCATCGAGAAGAAGCGTCAGAACCACCGGTCGGTACCAGCTGCTCCTGACCAGTGTACCAGTTCTGTTTGGGTCCAGAACCTGAAGTTCTGCTGCTGATGTCTCTGCAGGTTCGTCCTGATCGACACGCCGGGTCAGATCGAAGTCTTCACCTGGTCAGCGTCAGGAACCATCATCACAGAGGCTCTGGTGGGTTCTGGCTCTGGTAGGTTCTGGTTCTGGCCCGGCCTGGTTCTGACCCAGATCTGTTTGTGTTCTCCAGGCGTCCTCGTTCCCCTGCGTGGTCGTCTACGTGATGGACACGTCCCGCAGCGTCCACCCTGTCACCTTCATGTCCAACATGCTGTACGCCTGCAGGTACCGACCCAGTTCTGGTTCTAGAAAACACTGAGCTTTTAAGTTTAGAACCAGAACCAGACGTTCTGGGTCAGATTGTTCTGGAACCTGTTAGAACTGAAACAGTCCTGATAATCATCAGCTGATTTAGTGATCGATTAATCCTTAAAGCTGCAGCAACTTCTAGAAAAATGCTTGTAACATATTTAAGTTATGAGACATAATCTGATAAAAGAAAATCAAACTCCTCCGCCTTCTGCCGGTTCTAACTGTAAACAACCAATCAGAGCCAGGAGGCGCTGTCAATCATGCTTGTGTATCTGCTACCCTTCCCCATGTTCTGTCTGATAAACTGTGACAACATGCAACAACCTTGATAAACATTTTTATAAAAGTTGCAAAGATTTAGTTTAGACTAAAAGAATCCATCTGAAACATTTGATTTGAAAATCCTTTTCCTGTTCATCAGTTCACTAAGGGTGCGTTCACACTGCAGCCTGAAGTGACCCAATTCCGAGTTTTTTGCCGGGCCGTTCACACTGCCAGTAAATGCGACCTGTATGCGTTCTGCAGTGTGAACGGGCAAACGACCTGAAAGTGTCCCGCATGCGCAGCAGAGGGCGCCATAGCGTCAGCGTTCTCAGTGTTCTGCCAACTGCCATGAAAAGAAGAAGTGCTCAGTGTTTGCGGAAGTAAACATGGAGGCTAACGGTGGAGCTTAGCTTACATATTTGAAGTTGTTGTCCGGCCGGAGCAGCATATTAACAACTTAATCCTCATATAATCTGTCATGGTTGTTGTTTTTCTTCCCACTTGCGCTTATCAGGACGCAGAATAGTGAGATTTGTTGAGAATCAGTGACGTTCAGTTCGGATGAAGGCGACCTGGACGTTAGGTCGCATTTGAATCGGATACGTATCGGATATGGATCACATTCGAAAAAGAATCCAACCTGTACTGTTCACACTGCCATGAAAAGATCGGATACAGGTCACATTACACCAAAAAAAATCTGAATTGGGTCACTTCAGGCTGCAGTGTGAACGCAGGATAAAGGAATCCTGTTGTTGGATGTCAGGCAGTAAAATGTTTAATACATATAAAAGAAGCTGAAGCGGTGAGGAACTGAACATCTGCAGTTCCTCATGTGAACCAGCAGAGGGCGCTGCAGGATCAGATTAAACTCATTCCAGAGCAGCGTGCTTTGGGTTCTGATGGTCTCTTCTCTCTCCCAGCATCCTCTATAAGACCAAGCTGCCCTTCATCGTGGCCATGAACAAGGTCAGCTGCTTCCTGGTGGTGGTTGTTGTTGTGACCTCCTGTCGACCCCATGTTGACCTTTGACCCCTGACTGCAGACGGACATCATCGAGCACAGCTTCGCCGTGGAGTGGATGCAGGACTTCGAGGCGTTCCAGGACGCTCTGAACCAGGAGACGTCCTACGTCAGCAACCTGACCCGGTCCATGAGCCTGGTTCTGGACGAGTTCTACACCAGTCTGAGGGTACGGACTGGACCAGACTCAGATGGTCCGGTTTTTGGTTCTTTAGGCCTGACTGATGTTTGGGCTGTGTGACAGGTGGTGGGCGTTTCCGCGGTGACGGGAAGTGGGCTGGACCAGCTGTTCACTCAGGTGGAAGAGGCAGCCGAGGAGTACCACAGGTGAGTCAGAACCTACGCAGGTCCAGTTGGTTCTAGTTCAGTTTGTTCAGGTCGGGATCTGATTGTCTCGTCTCTTCAGGGACTACCGGCCGGAGTATGAGCGTCTGCGGCGGCAGCTGGTGAGTTCTGGCTCTGGTTTTGCTTTGTCCCGGTTCTGGTTCTGGTTGTAAACGGTCCTCCTGCCCACCAGGTGGCGGCGCAGAGCAGGAAGCAGCAGGAGCAGCTGGAGCGCCTCAGGAAGGACCTGGGGGCGGTGGACATGTCCCCTGCCACGTCCGCAGGTAGAGGACAGAACTGCCCCACAGGACGGCCCGGTTCTGGTCCGGTTCTAACGCGCTTCTTCCTGTCGCAGAGGAAGCCGATGTTGCTGGGCCCAGCGACCTCATCATGAGCCGCGGTAACCGTGACGACAGCGAGGAAGAGGTAGATGACACAGACGACATCGACCACTCCGGTGAGAAAACAACAAGAGCTGAGTATTTCCAACGTTCCCGAACGTTGTCAAACGTTACGGAGCGTTATCAATCGTTACGGAGCGTTCCTAACATTCCAGAACGTTGTCAAACGTTACGGAACGTTGTCAAACGTTACGGAACGTTGTCAAACGTTACAGAGCGTTCCTAACGTTCCGGAGCATTATCAATTGTTACGGAGCGTTATCAATTGTTACGGAGCGTTCCTAACATTCGTTGTCAAACGTTACGGAACGTTGTCAATCGTTACAGAGCGTTCCTAACGTTCCGGAGCATTATCAATTGTTACGGAGCGTTCCTAACATTCCAGAACGTTGTCAAACGTTACGCAGCGTTCCTAACGTTCCGGAACGTTGTCAAACGTTACGGAACGTTCAGAACGTTGCCAAACGTTACGGAGCGTTCCTAACGTTCCAGAACGTTGTCAAACGTTACAGAGCGTTGTCAATCGTTGCAGAGCGTTCCTAACATTCCAGAACGTTGTCAAACATTACGGAACGTTGTCAATCGTTGCGGAGCGTTCAGAACGTTGTGAAACGTTACAGAGCGTTGTCAATTGTTACGGAGCGTTCCTAACGTTCCAGAACGTTGTCAAACGTTACAGAGCGTTCCTAACATTCCAGAACATTGTCAAACGTTACAGAGCGTTCCTAACGTTCCCGAATGTTGCTAAACGTTACGGAGCGTTCCTAACGGTCCTGAACATTGGTAAACGTTACGGACCGTTCGGAACGTTGTCAAATGTGACGGAGCGTTGTCAATCGTTACAAAGTG